GTTTTTGTCCTTCTTTTTGTTGATGTGGTAGATGATGTTGGTGGATTTTTGAATGTTGTACCATCCTTGCATCCCTGGGATGAATCCCACTTGATCATGGTGTATGATCCTCTTGATGTATTTTTGAATTTGGTTTGCTAATATTTTGTTGAGTATTTTTGCGTCTATGTTCATCGGGGATATTGGTCTGTAGTTTTCTTTTTTTGTGGTGTCTTTGCCTGGTTTTGGTATTAGAGCGATGCTGGCTTCATAGAATGAGTTTGGAAGTATTCCCTCTTCTTCTCCTCTTTGGAAAACTTTAAGGAGGATGGGTATTAGGTCTTCACTAAATGTGTGATAAAATTCAGCCGTGAAGCCATCTGGTCCAGGGATTTTGTTCTTAGGTAGTTTTTTGATTACCAGTTCGATTTTGTTGCTGGTAATTGGTCTGCTCAGATTTTCTGTTTCTTCCTTGGTTAGCCTTGGAAGGTTGTATTTTTCTAGAAAGTTGTGCATTTCTTCTAGGTTATCCAGTTTGTTGGCATATAATTTTTCTTAGTATTCTCTAATAATTCTTTGTATTTCTGTGGTGTCCATAGTGATTTTTCCTTTATCATTTCTGATTCTGTTTATGTGTGTAGACTCTCTTTTTTTCTTGATAAGTCTGGCTAGGGGTTTATCTTATTTTGTTTATTTTCTCGAATAACCGGCTCTTGCTTTCATTGATTCTTTCTATTGTTTTATTCTCGATTTTATTTATTTTTACTCTAATCTTTATTATGTCCCTCCTTCTACTGACTTTGGGCCTCATTTGTTCTTTTTCTAGTTTCATTAATTGTGAGTTTAGACTGCTTATATGGGATTGTTCTTGTTTCCTTGATTGACTTTAATATTTGTCAAGTGAGTGTGGAATTTTATTTCTGAGTTGTTCTAACTTGCAGCTCCCTGATCACTCATTGGATAGAGCATCTTTTCATGTTTTTATGACCATTTGTGCTTCCTCTTAGGGAAATGTCTTTTCGTCTTTCATGTTTTTCATATTGGATTTTTTGTGTTTTTCTTAAGAGTTTTTTTTTCTAGGTATCATTGATATACAATCTTATGATGGTTTCCCATAAAACAACACAGTGGTTTCATGATTCACCCATATTGTCAAGTCCTCACCCTCTCTGTTGCGGTCACTATCTGTCAGCATAGTAAGATGTTATAGAGTCGTTAACTGTCCTATCCATGCTGTACTGCCTTCCCTGTGACCTGCCTATATTCTGATTGTGAATTATAGTGCCCCTTAATCTCCTTCTCCCTCTCTAGCCCCTCCCCTTTTGTAACCACTAGTCCCTTCTCCATGTCTCTGAGTTTGCTGCTATTTTGCTTCTTCAGTTTTGCTTTGTTTTTATACTCCACAAATGAGTGAAATCATTTGGTACTTGTCTTTCTCTGCCTGGTTTATTTCACTCAGCATAATACCCTCTAGATCCATCCATGTTGTTGCAAATGGTAGGATTTATTTTTATGGCTGAATAAAATGGCATTGTATATATGTACCACATTTTCTTTATCCATTCATCTATTGATGGACACTTAGGTTGCTTCTTTATCTTGGCTGTTGTAAATAGTCCAGCAATAAATATAAGGGTGCATATGTCTTTTTGAATCAGGGATCTTATTTTCTTCAGGTAAATTGCTAGGAGTGGAATGATTGGGTCAAATGGTATTTCTATTTTTAGTTTTTTTGAGGAACTTACATACTGCTTTTCACAACGGTTGAACCGATTTACATTCACACTAACAATGTAGGAGAGTTTTCCTTAAGGTTTTTAAGAATTCTTTTAAATAGACCTTTTATACTAATTCCTGCTGATAAGAAGCTAGTCTTGTAGTGATGCATAAAGTCAGTTTCTTTCTTATTTGTCAGAGTAGATGTTTATTAATTTCAGTCAGATGGTAATTGGGACTGTCCTAAATGAAATTTTTTCTCCCTTCCTTTCATCATAAGGTTTCACTTTAAGAGACTTGGAAACTCTTCCCTTTGGAATTGCTCTTCCCATCAGAGATGCAATTTATCACTGTCGTGAGCAGCCTGCTTCAGACTGGCCAGAGGCTGTCTGTCTCTTGATCGGACGTCAGGATCTATCTAAACAGGCCTGCGAAGGAAACTTACCCAAAGGGAAATCTGTGAGTATCAGCATGGGAGTTCAAAGTTCAGGTTTTGCCTCAAATAAAGTCAAAATACAGCTGTTCTTCATTTTCCTTTAAGGCATTTTACAAGTTTATATATCAGTTTGTCTTTTATATTACATTCCAGCTGGAGTTAATAATGGGACAAATCTTTAATTGTATATGGAACATGGGAACAGGAGGTTTGTGAATGCTCTGCCTTCCCTCCACCTTTCATTGTTGTGAGTTGGGACAGATGCTGAGTTAGCACATCCACAGGCATGACTCTTCCTCTGCTTATACCAAATACCATATTGGTAATTAACTACTTTTTCATTATTACATAGAGAAAGGGAGAGCACATACAAGCCTGCATTTGTATATGTTAACTGTTTCTCTTTCATATATTTTTTTGATTTGCTTAGCTTCTTGAATTTAACCTTTTAGATAGGTATAAATATGTCTGTTTAATGACATAAAGCTAAAGCCCCAGGGAAAGGTTTTTCTGGGGAGGACTGGGGGTCACTAAAGTTGTTTAGAAGAAGTTATCTGTCTTGAAAGATTGTCCTTCATCAATGTTCCAGTCTGTTTTTTGTTTTCTTTTTTTAAATAATGGCTTCTAAGAAACTGTGATGCATTCTTTTCCTACATGTAACAACAATAATAGTATTATACACAGCAATAATGGTGTAACTCCATTCAGGTTGTTCCCAGCCCCAATTCCATTGTGTATAAGTATGTGGGAGGAGGTCTTCCCACACATAACACCAAGCAATTATTGAACCCTAGCAGGGTGTTGGAGAACTCAACTCAATTCTGATGCTATCTGCTGGAACACAGCACCAGATTTCCAGGTTAAGGGCTCCCTCCCACAAGACTGCACCCCACCCCCCATTCCAGAGGCAGATAGCAAGCCCCAGGCTTCTGACCTACCCACTACAGATCAGAGGTTCCCATGACCTCCCCTTTAGGTTCAATTAATTTACTAGAGTGACTCACAGAACTCAGGAAAACACTTGATTTATCAGTTTAGTAAAGGATACTGTAGAGGATACCAGTTAACAACCAGATGAAGAGATACACAGGGCAAGGTCCCAAATAAAGGAGCTTCTATCCTCATGGAGCTTGGGGCCTGGCTTGGTGGAATGTGGAGTTCTGGTTCCTCAAGCATAGAAACTCTCTCCAACTGAGAAGCAGGATCCAAGAGTGCTGAGAGTAGAGTAATAAGCTCTTCTCATGGGTTTTTGTGGGGACTTCACTACATAGTCATGATTAAGTAAATCATTGGCCATTGACTGACTAGCTCCTGCCTTTGGGCCGGGTTCCAGAAGTCTCAACATGATAAGACACCTATTTAACCTTAAAGACTAAAGTTTCAGGAATTGTGATGAAGACCAAATACACCTGGGAAATATATATTTGGTCATAAGAATGACCAAATATGTATTATGACTCATTATATTGCAGAAGCCTACACAAAGAAGATGAATTACATCATTAGTCTCCAGTTGTTTCTCTTTTAGAACTAGCCTTTTTTAAAACTTAAAAATTGAACTTTTAAAACTTATTTAGAACTCTAGTTAACTTTAATAGAACAAATGGTAGCATTATATCACCCTATGATTCAGGGATGGCCTTCCCCTCTTGTTGACACCCTGTTTATGTCCCTGAGAAAATAGTGCAAGTTTGGCTTCTCTCTTGCAGGTCTTTGAACCAACACATAATAACCAATGCGTTGTAACTGTTGAGAATTCATGTTAGGTCTTAGGCTATTCATGCTTCTTCAGAACCTCTATCAATATATATTCCTAACACCAGAGTTGCCTAGAGGATCCAGGACATAAGCAGTTCTCATGGGATCCAATCTCTAGCAGGATCCTCTCAGCACATTTTTCTTTTAATCTGCACTTTAATAGCAACTTTTAACTTTAATTAATGTTTGCCCTGTTTTAAACAGAAAACCAACTTTTTTGCTAATAATATGGTTATCCTTTCTTTGACCAAGATGAGCCTTTAGCACTGTGAGAGAGGTTTAACTTCATTAGCACTAAAACCAAATGGTATTAGTGATAATTCTTTTGTATTTAAATGTCATTTTAAATAATTCTGTGTAAATCGAATTTGTTCAGTTATTTGAGGCTACATTTTATAACTCATCTCATTTAACAAGTTTATCAACTGTTTGGGTCTGTATTTTGTATTTAATTCACCCATTAGAATATAGTTCCATTTAAAATGAGATACTCCACAGGAACCGTAATGAATATTTATGTACTAAGTAAAAGTGATTATTTAGTTGTATTTGGCACTGTTTTTTTTAGGCTGATGTTGCTTCCATATTAAATGTTGCAAAACTTTAGCATTTTAACTAGGAGTTAACCTTTTCTTAAAGGAGTATAAAACTCCTCTTGAGAGAAAATGAGATTTTATGTACTTCACATCTGTGTTGAAGTGTGACTCAATTATTTGGACTGGGAAAGCTCATATTAAAGCACATGCTGAACTTATGAGGACAAAATGATAATCAGGGAATTAACTCTCCTAACTTGTTTTACTCAATCCCTTTTATTTTTGAAAAAGAAATTTTTATTTGAAACATGCTTATAAAAAAAAGTGAAAAACAACCATGACCCATTCTGTTTAGAATACTAAAGTAAGAAAGTATTGTGTAACTTCTTCTAACTCTTGGTGTATATCCTTGCAGGTTGTTTTCTTCTGTTTATATTAATCAAAGATGGTATTTAAATGAGTGTAGGTTCTTTCGTGATAGTGAATGGGATTCATATTCCATTTGTAGTAATTCATTTCTTTTTCAAGATGTTTAGGATGTAGTTAGTATTTTACAGTTTATTTAGAATTGTTTTGTCAGTGGGATCAACCTCCTAGCTATTGTTCTTAATTTAAACTTTTCCTTTTGGCTCATTAATGAATTTTTCTAAGGGGCAATATAATTGTACTTTTGAAAAGTTTCCTAGGGTGGGATCCCCAAGCCAGCCCTGCTTTGGAATACATATTTTCTCTACTGATACAGGCGTGGTACATCATCCTGTATATCGCCAAGTTCAGTAAGTGCATGTTGACTGGTTTTTAAATTGTTATTACAACCAAGTCTGTTACTCAGGTGCTCTCATCAGATGTTCCTTCAGGAACAGAAACTGAGGAGGAAGATGATGGCATGAATGACATGAATCAGGAGGTTATGTCATTAATATGGAGTGAAGATTTAAGGGTGCAGGATGTGCGAAGGCTTCTTCAGAGTGCGCATCCTGTTCGCGTCAATGTGGTACAGTATCCAGAACTCAGTGACCACGAGTTCATTGAGGAAAAAGAAAACAGGTAAAGGAGAACATGGCATTATTGTTTGTCAGAGATTTTTTACTGCTAAAAACCCTAAAAGATACTTTGAAGTTAAAAATACAATGTATTTTAAGTTTTTATCCAACCTCTGTAAACCATACATGTTTTGAAAATATTTGGCATTTGGTGACATAAGTGTATTTGCTCTCTCCTCCTCTTGAAATACTGTTAGTTGTGTGCTATTTAGAAAAGGTGAATCTAGAACTATTTTGCTTGTACTTACCTTAATTTGCAGAGAGGGAAAAACACTGAACTCATCCTTCTTGATCAGGAAAATATTTTGAGGTATTTTTTTGGTGTAGTTTAAACTTTTACCAGTATTTTTTTTTTTCTAATGTGAGAGGTAATACATATAAGCCTTTTCTCCTGCCACACTCAAACACGTTATATCCCTTGATAAAATATAACTCAGTAGTGAGCAATATCACACACCTGTGACATTGCAGAGTTGTTGCCTTGGGACAGTTCATCTTGTATTTAAAATTTCTCTCCTGTCCTTTTATCTGCCTGTCTCTGTCCCTTATCTTTCTTGTGCCACTATTTCCTAGTTCTTCTGACTTTATTTAGCGTGGCACCGCTTCAGGGAAAAGGCCTGTCTACACTCAGCCACAGGCTGCTGGAGATCCGAGTTAGTCCTCATCTCCCTCTCATGGGAGGGAAATATTTCCTGTCCACATGGAAAAATGAGCTGGAGTGACAGAGAAGTCACATGACAGCTCCAGTGGGCCCTGGAGCCAATCTTGGCCACTATCTACTGGGTGACTTTGGACAAATTGCTTAACCTCATGGCCATCTCAGTTGCCTCAGGGTAAGAATAGGCATGATGGAGCATTTGTATCTCACACAGTTCCTCTGTGTGAATCATGTATTTCAGAACACTGCCCAGTACATAGTAAGGCTCCATGTGATCAGCCGTTATTATGAACAGAGTTCATTGATTCTCTGATTATTTTTTTAACCTTTAATTATCTCTGGAATCAGAATATATCTTTCAGTCAAAATGTTATAGTTTAAATGTTATTTTTTTTCTTTGTGCCTCATGAAATAGTGATGTGTCTTATGATCAGTCATCTTAAATGGAAGGGTTAAATAGTATTTTTGTTTTCATTATTGTAATTTTGTAGATTATGTATAAGGTTTCTGCTAAAAAAAAATTCTGCTGGATATAGACTCCTGGCTTTGAATTTCCCTGATTCTAAATTAATGTTCCCAAAGAATCTTAGGTCAGGAAAATTTTTCTGACCAAAGACCTAGAAAAGCAGATTTATATGTGTACAGTTAGGGAGAGGGTATGCTTGTGAATAGTTTTGCAGAGAAAATGTTAGCCCCTGAAAGGGTATTTATGTGTCTTCAGATATAGCTCATGCTAAGTGTTTGCGGGTTATAAATACCCATTTCCCCAGTGTCAGTTTTGTTTTGTTTTGTTTTAAGGCTCTGTTTGGAATATAATTTATTTTGACTTAGAAATGTTAAAGAGTAGTGTATTAGTTTCAAAATATAGCCCATAGAATCCATTTTAACCTTGAACATAAGCAACATATAGTGTTATTAGTCCTATAAATTCCAGCCATCATGTAAGTGAATACAAATACTGTATTTTTCCTGGAGACACTACGTAATCCATTGACCTCCTACATAAGGACTTCCTTTCCTTCCCTGTTGTGTACAGGCTGTAGAGATGGTATTTCCAAAGCTATATGGGCAAAAAGGATGGGACCAGAATCCTGTGTGTGCTGAGGGCAGCTAGACTGAAAATAATGTAAGAGGGAACCCAAAAAGGGTTTCCTTTGACAGGGATAGCATCAGGGTAGAATTTTAGGTTTTTCTTTTTGTATACCTATGGAGAGTGGCCTGGTTTATAGACCAGCTGGTTTTCATTCAAAGCAAATTTGAAACAACAAAAAAGGAAATCTATCTCCCCCATAGAGTTTCTAATGGGAACAAGAACATCAAAGTAAAAACTAAGTTTGGATGATTCATCTACATCTTTGTATGGATTTACTTTAATTTGACTTCATTTTACACAGAATGCCTCCTTTCAAAGTGTAAAAAGTATTAAATACATGTTTAGAGGAGTATCTTTTGAAATAATTGCCTACCGATTACATTCCAATTTTTTTTTGTTTGTTGAAACATTTTCATATGTTGGTTTGATTTTGGTTATAGATTGCTCCAGTTGTGTCAGCGAACTATGGCCCTTCCGGTAGGACGAGGAATGTTTACCTTGTTTTCATACCATCCTGTTCCAACGGAACCATTGCCTATTCCTAAATTGAATTTGACTGGTATGTTACATTCTGGGTTCACAGAGAAAGGAACATGATTTTAGAGGAGTTCTTTTAAATTACTTTAGTTAAAACCAAAGAAGTACTCTTTTATCCCTGTTGATTTAAAATATTGTTAATAGCTACTTTGGTGGTTATCCAAACTCAGATAGCAAATTAAACTAAACATAGAGCAAAGAAGGATGTGGCCCATTATTAATTTTTGCTTTTAATGAACCATTTCAAGATATAAAAAGGTACTTGGGAAAGTTTAGAAAGGTATTATTGATAAGAGTGAGTATTAAACTTAATCTTAAAGTGTAATATGTAAAAGAAATTTAGCCTCTTTTTATGTCTTATGAATAAATGATCTTTGTACAAGAACAAGAAAATACACTAAGCAAAAAGAAAAACAACTCATAGTAGTCTTACTTGATAGAGTTCACTAATGTTAACATTTTGATATATACATTTCCCAATTTTATTTCTCCATTTTGTAATTTTATGTTTGTTTAATTATCAGGAAATTTAAATCTGTTTTAGAAATTGTTTTGAGAATTTACTGTACAGTGAGCATCCTTCCCTATCTGGCATAAACATGTATATAATTTTGTATATATGTATGTATTATATACATGTATGTATACACATGCTTTTAATCAACTTCATTTTTATTTGCTCCAGAGTATTTCGTTTAATGGAATATAGTTTATATACACCTGGTATTGTTGAAAATAATCACTTTTTGCAGTTATAAACATACTGTTAGGTATATTCATCTTATTTAGTATTAGTAATTGCTTAAAAGGAAAACACCTAGGACAGCAAGATTTTAAGGCTTTGATTTAACATATTGTTAAATTGCCTTACTGAATAGTTGCATTACTTTTTACTTCTGCCATTTGTAGGTGTACACATTTCTTAATATGATCGATTACAATGGATTTTATAGTGCATGTCCACCTGATGCTGGTTTGATTGTGTTCTAAAGGTGACAGTTGGGTACATAGTCAAATTGTCACTGAAAATCCCTAACTTACAGTATAGTAGTTTTTATGAGATCTATACAAAATAATATATTATATACCTAGGAACTTAGAGTATATAATATATGCAAATATAATTCCACAATATTTTAAGTTATGTAATTTAAACAATCCAGTGTCCTACTCACTGTGAAGAACTTGTGCTTTTAGCAGCCAATGAAAAATGAGGTCACTGAGTGGAGGATGATGCCCACTTCCAGCATCACACCTACTCTGGAGCCTACTCTTGAGAGGCACTGCCAGTGGGGTGACCTTTAATATTTTAATTGTTCTCTTTCTTAGAGATAAAGCAGTTATGGTAAAATCTGAACAGTTTTTGAGTTTTGATGAAGGCATGGTATATAGATGTTCATTTGTTTACTAGTCTTTCAGTTCTTTGAAGGTTTTCATATAAAAATTTGTGTTAGAATTTCATGCAAAACTGGCAAATATTAAAATGTATTAAATCTGGGTAGAGATGCTTGAGTGAATATTAAAAAATAAGTACATGAATCATTATCTTTTTTTTCCTGTAAAAGTTGCATTTTAAAATGTGTTTATGACATTAATCCAAAATTTATTCTTTTAGCTATTCTGGTAGTCTCCCTCTACCTGTCCCCCACCCAGAAAAAAAAAAGGTGATCTTGTTCTAATAGTAAATTAATTTTGGAAAAATTTCTTTCTTAAAGTAGTTCCTTAACTTACACTGATATGACCTGTTGCACCTTTGTATATTGCTACTTTTATTGAAGAAAATTTGCTTTACCCTTGGCCTTTCATTTTATCTTGTACATAAATATTACATCTTATGCATATGATGAATTGTTACTTTAGAGAGGCATATTTTTCATTATTAATCTATCTTTTTGAAAAAGTAAAAGTATGCACTTGCCACCCCATGTGAGGCTGCCATACACCAGCATTTGAGTTACCTCTTAGGTACAAAAGACAAATGTATTTAATTTTGTGTTTGTGTCAGTGTGTATGTGTATATACACTACAAATAAGACACTGTGCATCTATTAAAATTTTATTTGCATAACTTTCAAAAATTTCAACTGTGCTTGTAAACCTCTAGTGAGCTATATAAATTTATGCAATATTTAGAATGTTTATTTTTCATGTTCATCCTTTACTTGAGCTAATATAGAATATTAAAAATATAAAAAGAATTCAGTATTTGCCTGTATACAGTGTAGATCACAACCAAAAGACTCAAGAAATTGAAAGAGAACATACAGCATCATAAACATTTAATTTACATTACTCTTTTATTTTTATTTTTATTTATTTATTTATTTATTTTGATATCGTTAATGTACAATTACTTGAAGAACATTGTGGTTACTAGACTCCCCCTATTATCAAGTCCCCCCCACATACCCCATTACAGTCACTGTCCATCAGCATAGTAAGATGCTGTAGAATCCTTACTTGTCTTCTCTGTATATACTGCCTTTCCTGTGTCCCCCCTACCACATTATGTGTGCTAATTGTAACATTACTCTTAAATAAATTGACTTTAAAATTAAATTTTGTGAATACTCCTGTGGTTCACTGGGTAGCTCTAGTCTATAAAATGATGCTTTTTATAGTTCTATCTCTGAATGCAATTTGGCATTTTTAACAGCATATAATTATATATATATATATATAGACAGATACACGAATAAGAGGTAGATATAGAGCAAATTTATAAAGATCCTCATTTCTTTTCAAAATGTCATTTTTCCTTAATATCCAAAGAAAAATATGAAATGATGTATTTGAAATGAACACCAGTGTCATTGGTCACAGGTTGTAATTTATTACTTATTACTCATGTGGTTTAACTGTGATGTTAATCTTCATTTTATTTTTTAATAAGCTTCTTGCTGTTTGAAAGAAACATTTCAAAGTAGTGGGTATGCTAATCAGATCTGTATAAAGTTAAATAGGTATCAGTTATCTTATTGTAATCCCATGTATTGCAGCAAAAAGGACAATAAATTATTTTAAACGAGTGTTTTCCAACTTGTTCAATTTTGAGTCATATAAAAGTTTCAAGTATAGTAACCTAATATTGCAGATATTATGGAGTTTAAGGTTTTGAATGAAGAATAAGTAATCTCTCTTCTCAAAAATATAAATTTTAACAATTTTGGTTTTATGAATTTTTATTCTCTTAATTTTAAATTCATTTGTCTGAATAGGACGGGCTCCTCCTCGGAACACAACAGTAGACCTTAACAGTGGGAACATTGATGTGCCCCCCAACATGACAAGCTGGGCCAGCTTCCATAATGGTGTGGCTGCTGGCCTGAAGATAGCCCCTGCCTCCCAGATCGACTCAGCTTGGATTGTTTACAATAAGCCCAAACATGCTGAGTTAGCCAATGAGTATGCTGGCTTTCTCATGGCCCTGGGTCTTAATGGGCACCTTACCAAGCTGGCTACTCTTAATATCCATGACTATTTGACCAAGGTGAGAACTTGTGTCCTGGCATGTGCCTCATCTGGCTACTGTAAACAGCTCCTAATTATTCTGTTTGCTTTTACTTCTACATTCTGGTACCTCAAAATCCATTCCTCTCAGAGCAGGCTGAGTGAACTTTCTAAAGAGTAAATCAGACTATATCACTTCCTGGTCAAAACTATTTAGTGATCTTCCATCGCTTGTAATATACATTCTAGGAGCCTGTATATCCTACTCACTTCTCCAGCCTTAGTACCATGTTCTTCTTGCTCCCCATACTCCAGCCATAGGGACTGGCCATTTTAGCTCCTTGACAAACTGAACTCTTTCTGTTGGCCTAAACTTTTCCACTTTTATGCCATAAAAATTCACCCATTTAAAGTGTATAATTCAGTGGATTTTAGTATATTCAGAGTTGTGCATCACCATTAATTTTAGAACATTTTCATCACCCCATAAAAGAATCTTGTACCCATTATCAGTCATGCTCCTTTCTCACCTTCTTCCAGCCTTTGACAACCATTGATACACTTTCTGTCTCTATGGATTTGTCAGTCTGGGCCTTTCATATAAATGAAATCATGCAATACGTGGTCTTTTATGACTGGCTTTTTCCCCTTAGCATGTTTTCAAGGTTCGTCCATGTTGTACTGTGTATCAGCACTTTGTTCCTTTTTATTGCTGAATAGATAATCTGTTCTATGAATATACTGTATTTTATTATCCATTCATCAGTGAATGGATATTTGGGTTATTTCTACTTTCTGGCTATTATGAATAATGCTGCTATATACTGCATGTTTTTGTGTAGACATGTTTTCATTTCTCTTGGGTATATTCCTAGGAGTGGAATTGTTGGATTATATGGTAACTCTGTTTAAATTTTTGAGGAGCCACCAAACTGTTTCCCAGAGTGGCTGTACCATTTTACAGCGTCACCAGCAATACAAAAAGGTTCCGATTTCTCCACATTCTTGTCACATTCATGTCTTTATTTTTAATTACACTCGTCCTACTAGGTGTGATGTAATATCTCATTGTGGTTTGGGTTTGCATTTCTCTGATAGCTAATGATGTTGAGCATCTTTTCATGTACTCATAGGCCATTTGTAAGTCGTCTTTGTAGAGATGTCCTTTCAAATCCTTTGCTTATTTTTTTAATTGGGTTGTTATTGAGTCATATTTATGTGTTATGGATATTAGTTCATTAACAGATGTATGATTTGGAAAATTTTTCTCCTTTTAATTTTGATGGTGTTTTTGAAGCACAAAAGTTTTTAATTTTGCTGAAGTCTAATTCACTTATTTTTTTCTTTGGCCGCTGTGCTTTTGATATCATATCTAAGTTGTTACCTAGTCCAAGGTCAGAGATTTACACCTGTGTTTTTTTTCCCTTTCTATTTTAAATTTTATCAAATGTCCATCACAGTGGCTCAGTGGTCATCCTCCCCCTCCCCCTGCCCCCTTGGTAACCACTAGCCACTTCTCGGTGTCTGAGTCTAATGCTGTTTGGTTCCTTCTGTTTTGCTTTGTTTTTATATTCCAGAAATAAGTGAAATCGTTCAGTACTTGTCTTTTTCCACCTTACACCTATGTTTTCTTCTGAGAATTGTATAGTTTTAGGTCTTACATTTAGTTCTATTATCCCCATAGAGTTAATTTTTGTGTATGATGTAAGGAAGGGGTCCAACTTCATTCTTTTGTATGAGACTCTACAGTTACCACAGCACTTTTTTTGAAAAATTATTCTTTTCCCATTGAATTGTCTTGGTGCCCTTGTGGTCACCTGACCATCAGTGTGGGAATTAGTTTTGGATCACCTCAGCCATTTACATTTGTTCTCTCCGCTGACATCATTTTTTTTATCACTTTCTAAAGCTGAGTGCTCCTGTTTCTGCTACTTTTCCTGGGTAATTTGTATTCCAGGTCCTATTGTAAACTTCTCTTCTTTTGAGATTCCATGATTCTCCAGCTCCTCCTAATCTAAATCAGGCTACTTTAAAATAATCTTTCATATTACTTAGTACTTTTCATTATGTTACCTTTTCATAGTGTATTTGTATATTTGTAGTTTAACACTTTCCTCCATTAGGACACTGGCTTCATGAGGGCAAGGGCCATGTCTGTTTAGTTTGCTGTTGTACTATTGGTGCCTCTCACTGTACCTGTTGCATGGAAATACTTCCTGAAAGCACTGCAGAAAGTATTTTATTTTAATCCACATAGTTTTTTTCTGCTTTCTTCCTTAGGGCCATGAAATGACAAGCATTGGACTGCTCCTTGGTGTTTCTGCTGCTAAACTAGGCACCATGGATATGTCAGTTACTCGGCTTCTAAGCATTCACATTCCTGCTCTCTTACCCCCAACATCCACAGAGCTCGATGTTCCTCACAATGTCCAAGTGGCTGCAGTGGTTGGTATTGGCCTTGTATATCAAGGGACAGCTCACAGGCATACTGCTGAAGTCCTATTGGCGGAAATAGGTATGGCATTAATGGTGTGTGTTCATAAGCACACATTTCCCACCCTGTAGGGACCCAAGTATAAATGATGGTAAAATTATAAAAAAATATTTTTTAGGGAAAAAAATAGTAGCTTTTGTGGAGACAGAATGATTTTGTACCAAAAAACCACTAAAAGGAAAAAAGCTGTAAGTAATGTTTCTCAGGCTGGTATCACTGTGCAGTTTTAGTCCTCATATTTGGCCAGTCCATTCTTGAGCCCCAGTGATCCCACTGAATGAGGTAGCTTGTGGTCTTAATCCCTGTTGTGTCTTCACCAAGCAGTGTCTAACAAGGGTCTGCATTTAAGATGCAGTTGATTGTTTTGGTCCCTGAAAATGTGGTGTTTACACTGTTGGACAGCAGCACTTCAGAGCAGACAGGAGTGACCTGACTGCTTTTCTCCTTCACATGCTGTCAGGTGTGTTGTGATGAAATGACTTCTGTGCTCTCAATTGAGTCTGAACTTTGTGGAAATCTGTCTTACATATTGTCATCTTTTTCTGACAAATGGAAATGCTATTGACATTATTAGTATGTCAGTTTAGTTACATCTTTACATGTCTTCTATCCTATTTAGAATCTTTTCTATATATATTTCAGGATATATTGTTGAAGATATATAATTCTCTAGAATGATTGTATCAGTTAGCTGTTGCCACAGTAGTGCTATAAACAGCCACAGAATTGGCTCAGGCATCTTTGCCTCAGGCTGTAGATTTGTGGGTCTGCTGCTCTGTCTGTGGTCCACACACATGCCTTATTCTGGGTCCCAGGTTGTAAGGTGTGCTTCTTTTATGGTAATGACAGAGGGGAAAGAGGGAGAACCAAATAATGGAGCTTGCAGGGCTTTGCTTACCTTATGCCAGGTAAAATGCCAGGCCAAAGCTAGTCACATGTTCAGGTCCACTCTGAGGCTCTGCCAAGGGTGTGAGTGTTTATATACTAGTACCAAAGGGTAGTGAAGAATTGGGACCAACAATTTAGTCTACTAAATGATGAAACAAATTACTCACAAAACTGAAATTTCCAGTTACCAAAATTTACATAATAGCATAAGTTCGGTCTAAGAAACACGTATTCAGAAGATACTCTCAAGACTGGCTTTTAAAGCTCATTCATCTGCAAGGTAACTTAATATTCTTTGGCTATATCATAATGAATCTAAGATACCACCTTATATCTTAGCCATAGCACACTTTTTCATAATATATATAGAGGATTTCATCTGGGCCAATATGCATATGCTCTTTTATATAATTACAGTCAGAACATACATGCTGTTTTTGTACTGCTCTCTTCATATATAGTTGTCATAAATATTTTTAAAATTAATTTTATATTGTGTAATAGTATCACTGAATTGGTATTCTATGAATTGTCTAATTATTTTCTTATTTTCAGGATGTTTTTCATTGTTTCTAATTCTTTCCTATAATGTATAAACATTACACTCATTACTTTTGTATAGTATGTATTTATTTTTTTTCCTGATTAAATTTTTTCCTAGGGATAAAATTCTAAGAGTATAAAATTTTTTTTGGAAGGAGGGATTTTTACATATAATACATCCTGCTGCCCCAAATGGTAGAGTTAGAGTTATGAGATGCTTTTTAAAAGTATGAATTTTGCACCCAGCCCAACTTTAAGGATCAATATAAAGAAATTTTACCATAGTACGGCTCAGTATTACATAGGTTCAAAATAAATGTCTGGAAACATAATATTTAACATGCTTAAAACTTGAAGTATCCTTCCTGTCTTGTATCCAGTATTTGAACATGTTTTTACCACATAAAATGGATTTGAAAATAACAAAACCAAAACAAAATGCAAGAGATTAAAAAATTGAAACACTTTTTGAGCATCCCTCCCTTAAAAAATTTTTTTCCTACTTTCTGGTAATTTTATTTTATTTGTATAGAACCCAAATATTTTCAAGTCATTTTTTCAAATTGGCAAATTAAAAACCATTTTGGGGCTTTATTTTGTAGTAAACTGACAGTTGTGGACACTATTTATGGTAATGTCGTATCTTTCTGGGTGGGTTTGTATTTTATCTAGTTCTTTTTCTGAAACTTTTATGAGTTAGGATTTTAAGAGGTAAGCTTGAATTGCACTGTTTTCTCTTTCATAGGCCGGCCCCCTGGTCCTGAAATGGAATACTGCACCGACAGAGAGTCCTACTCTTTAGCTGCTGGTTTAGCCCTTGGCATGGTTTGCTTGGGGGTAAGCATAGTCTGCGCCTTCCGATGCTTCAGTTAACCCAGCTCATGTTGACATGAGTAATCTTGACACTTATTCTGTATACCATTCTGCCTTACGTGACTTGACTTCACGTGATTCAGCCTTTTCTTTCTGGATATTTTTCAAAGTGCTAGATTTGGAAATGGAGAGAAATTCTAGTGAAGAGTGGGGCTTTAAGGTTTCACTCCCATGGCTTAGATGTAAGTGTTGATGAATGAACTAAGGGAATGAAATTTCTTGGAAAGAGTGTCAGACATAAGATGAAGAAGTGACAGCACGCTCGGACAGAAAACTGAAAATAGGGAAAATAGATGCATGATGGAGAGCTTTAAGAGTCTGTGGTATTGCTAGAGACAAACCATAACCTTCCTTTGGCACCCTGGTGTTCACTGGCTATCCCAAAATGTTGCTGGAGTTGCATTTGCTTTGTGATAGAACTCAGTATCACTTTGACCCCATCCATTGGGGATAGTACAGAACTACCAAAAATATTTCATTAAATGATTGTAACAGCCAGAATGTGGTTTCCTTGAAAAATCATCAATACAGTGTTATACTGAAACTAAATTACATAAAGAAGGTTGATTTTCTGTTAGGTTTTTGACCCTGCGTATTTGACACATGAGCTGAAGAGGCAGGTGGTACAGTGGAAAGCACTGTACTGGGAATTGGGACCTAAATTCTGGTCCTGACTAGTGTGTTACGTTATTTAACTACCGTATTGTCTAGTCGTTAAGCAGCCCCATAGATTGTGGAGCCAAGCTGCCTTATCTCCAGCCCTACCAATTACTAGCTATGTAACCTTGGGCTTAATCTCTTTGTCCCCCACTTTCAAAACCTATAAAATAACTATCTATTTGATAGAATTGTCATATTAAGTTAGTTAACCCATGTTAAACACACAGAATGGTTCCTGAAACAGAGTGTTCAGTAAGTTATTTTTATTATTATAATTATTGTTGTTGAAATAGTTCATAGGCACAATAATGAAAGGTCCAGATGTTCATAGTTCAGGTTTCATTTACATACCTACTATTTTCTTTTACTGTTAGTGCAGCTTAACTATATTTTGAAGCCTATATGTAGTTTGTGAAATGAAAGTATTAACTTGAAAATGAAAGTATTGTAATTCTAATGTCAATTATTAATACCTTAAGTACTAACTCTTGAGTAGTAGTTGTTTTAGTTGGAAAAAAACCACACAAAATACCCTGCTTTGAAGTTAGTTTGTTCTTTTATTTGTCATGGGTATGTGTTCTGGATCTTAATCCATAGGTTTCCTTTCACATGTCTGTTATTTCATTTTCCAGCATGGCAGTAATTTGATAGGTATGTCTGATCTCAATGTGCCTGAGCAGCTTTATCAGTACATGGTTGGAGGTCATAGGCGCTTTCAAGCAGGGATGCACAGGGAGAAACATAAATCTCCAAGTTATCAAATCAAAGTAAGTCCAATCAAAGCAATAGATCAAGATTGTAGAATCTACAAAGTTAATTTGAAAATAGTAGTTTTTATACCAACATTTTTAAATGTCATACCAACATTTATAAATATGTTAACTTTAAGCATAGGCTAGTATTCAAAATTTTATAATTCAGAACTCTTACATGAATAAACTTTTCTTTTGATAGGAAGGAGATACAATAAATGTGGATGTAACTTGTCCAGGTGCCACTCTGGCTTTGGCTATGATCTACTTAAAAACCAATAACAGGTATTGAATCCTCTGATCCCACCCCTTGCTATGATATTGTGACTTACTTTCTGACCTCAGTAGTAAAACTAAATTATCTTAGACTGTTTATTTTTCCTGTGCTCGATCAACCTGATTTTAATTCTCTCAAATACTACCTGTTACTGAGATTTTTATCGAGAAATAATATATTTTGCTGTTTCAGTGATATTTGATGGTATAACTGCAAATTTTATTCACTTCTGTTTTATAGTTTATGTCACTGACAATCAAAAAATGGCAAAATTCCTTTTCATTAATTTTGCATATTGTTGTGAGGGCTGATTAAGCCAGAAGTACTTAGCATTATTCTATTCTTGGTTATTTTTTACTAAAATTGTTTCTGCTTAGTTCAGGAGCTTTCTTAAGACCATACCATCTACCTTCCCAGCCCCTAATGATTAGTGCTGACGCTTAGAAGTAGACCTTTGGCATTTATTCTTTTACATTTTGCATAGAAGAGTAAGTTGGGTAGGTGATTAAGCCATGTTTTAAGGCCTTGAATTTAAAAGAAATTCTGAGAGTTTCAGTGTTGCAAATTCCTCCTCTTAGAAAAAGTGAATGTATGCAAAATTAATGTAGTGGTTAAAGACATTTATTCATATATTTGGGTAAATGTGAATGTCAGTGCTTTCTTGGCACTGAAGATATTTTAGTGAATGAAACTAGAAGTATCTGCCCTCATGAAGCTTATATACATACATATATAATAAATATTTGTTAGAGGGTATAAAGTACTATAGAAAAAAATAGGACAGTGGATGAGTTGGGAGAAATGTTTTGAAATCTATCTTGGGATTTTTGATTATTTTTCGTTATACCTGCGTGGCAATGCTTACTGACCTCCTCCAACAGATCTATTGCAGATTGGCTTCGAGCTCCTGACACCATGTATTTTTCGTTATACCTGCGTGGCAATGCTTACTGACCTCCTCCAACAGATCTATTGCAGATTGGCTTCGAGCTCCTGACACCATGTATTTGCTGGACTTTGTGAAACCAGAATTTCTCTTGCTTAGGGTATGGTACTTTGCAATTTTTCACTTCTGTTAACATGAGGAGTCTATTTGTGGTTTTCAAGTTTAGCTTGCAAATTAAATGTCTACAAGGGAACCTTTTACTATTAATCCATCATGAGTATGTAATTGGTAGGTAGTGTTCTTTTGAAATTCTCTAAATGGAACTGTGGGAATGCCAGGAAAAGCAGCCATATTGATAATGTAATACTTGAGTTGACATTTCAACTTCTCATATTATTCAAGACTTTGTATCAAGCAGCAAGTGACTGGGGCTTCATTACTACTTCATTTTACATTATTTCTTTATTATTAAAAATGCACTATTGCTATGAAAGGTATGATTGATGACAGTAACTGACATAGTTGCCTGTTTCCCTCTATTCTTTAATGTTTTAAACTTGTATGTTTTTAGCATATGAAAGCGTTTAAATTATAACGACAGAGCTATGATTATTTTCTTTGTGAATTTTCTTTTATGGAGCAAAATTTAAAAAGTCCTCTTCAACTCCTCCAAACTTTGATAATAATCAACATAGTTTTAAATTTGCCTGCTTTAATTAATTTTATCTGTATTACATATTTAAGACACTTGCTCGATGCCTGATTTTGTGGGATGATATTTTGCCAAATTCCAAGTGGGTAGATAGCAACGTTCCTCAAGTAAGTACAAACAATAAATATTGTTATATCTTAAATAGCATAAAATTATGATTTCTTGTGGGATTTTCTAAACTCTGTAAGATACTTTTTCTTATAAAGGCAGTATTGATAATACAATTTTATTATAAAGGCTATCTCTAAAAAATACAGGAACTTTAATTTTAAGATTGTGTGCTAACTACAGACCACAGTCTTTACTTCAGCCCCAGATTCTGACAAATAGTAGTTCTAAAAAATTAAATATCTCAAAGTACCCTAAAAAAGTATTTTTGATGTTTTTATCCTAATTAAGTATGCATTAATCTAAGATGCTGTTTTACTTTGTGACAGTTTTAGTTCCCCTATATTATAACTTGTTTTAATTATTTTATAGCATATCTAACCAACAAGTCAAATAGTTAAAAATAAGCAGACTCCTTTGTAAAAACTCTATGAACCAAAAATTGTAACTTAATATTGCCTTTAATCAACTATCCATTTCTGGTGATCTCGGTTACTTTTTTTTTTTTTTTTTGGTGTCATTAATCTACAATTACATGAGGAACATTATGTTTACTAGACTCCCCCCATCACCAAGTTCTCCCCACATACCCCATTGCAGTCACTGTCCATCAGCGTACTAAGATGCTGTAGAATCACTACTTGTCTCCTCTGTGTTGTACAGCCCTCACTGTGCCCACCCCACGTTATACTTGCTAATCATAATGCCCCC